TTCAGCAGTGGGTCCAGTCAGGCAGCTGGGCCTGAGTGCGGGGCGCTGTCCGCTGGCTTTCAGCGACTCTGACCCGGTTGTTTCTCTCCCCGCCCCCAGATGCTGACCCGCTGGTCATGGGGGCTCCTGGCGCACCCATGGACGTGCGGTGCCACGACGCAAACAGAGATTATGTCATCGTCACCTGGAAGCCGCCCAACACGACCACCGAGGGCGCCGTCATCGGCTATTTCGTTGACCGGTGAGTGCCCATTGTGTTCTTCCGGGGGCGGGGACGTTCCTGCAGTGAGTGTTGCCACGACGACGCGCTTGGATGTTTTTCTGGATTCGAGTTCATGCCGCCGTTCTTGATGGCATCTGGGTTCTGTCTGCTCAGTGACGGGTGACGGTCGCCCAGCCGGCCGGGCCCTGTGCGGCCACACCGCCTCTCTGCGTTCCAGCTGTGACCCACGTCTCTGGTCCTGCTCCGCCAGGCGCGCTGTGAGCCGGGTCACCGTCCTGCCGAGGGTCAGCCTGGCGGGGACCGGGCCTGGCCGAGCGGCCGCGGTCAGCCCCATGCCTCCCTCCGGAGGACTCGAGGGCCCAGGGGTGCAGCTGGGGACACGGCTCCTTCACACCCAGCGCCCTCGTCTCCTTCCCTGGGGTGCTTCTCGTTTCCAAGTTAAAAACACGGACATTTCAAAGCGCAAAATGTTAGAATTTTTCTTCGGGTCAATAAGCATAGATCATCCTCGAGCCCAGCGGAGCGTGACCTCGCCGTGTCCCTCGCTGGGTGGCGCTCACACAGGAAGGACACAGACCGAGCCGGCGCGGTTGCTGGCTGTGCAGTTTACGCCTCACGCAGACTTTTCTGTCACCGAGAGCGATCGTCATCGGAGGAAAGGAATTCGGGAGTGAGGCAGAAAAGTCTGAGCTAGTGGGTTGTTGGCGGTGGATCCCACAGGAATTTAATCCGTACAGAACACATAAAATGGTTAGTTTGGGAAAAAACCAGTCGGCTTGGTTTTCCGACATTCCGCCGGTTAAGTTCTCGGCACCCAGCACAGCTCGTTTGGCTGAGGCGTCCCCCAGCAGGACGCTGTTCCACACGCTCCCGCGGGGGTGCAGGGCACTGTTCCCACACGCTCCCGCGGGGGTGCAGAGTGCACGGTTCAGGGTTCGCCTTGAGTGAGAAAACGACCAAACATAAGCTGAGCAGAAGCGAGGGGCTCTCCCACCCCCCGGCCACACCGGCTTCTCGCGCCTTCTCCCTCGACGGTCCACTCTCTCCAGCCTCCCTGAGAAAAGGCACGCGCAGGGCGGGCCCCGGCGAAGCAGCCGAGCACGTGCGGGTCGGGGACGTCCGTGAGCTGATTTCTCTCTAAAACGGACACGCGGCCCTGACACCGAATGTGTCTGAGGCGCATTCTCCCCGCTCGCTCTTCTCCCGGACGTGAAGGTCCAGTGCTGAGCCGCCCCGGCCTTTGCGGGATGGAGTTAATCTCTTCCTGTGCCCGGACGTCCGTCAGGACGAAACACGCCCACTTGCCACACGAGTGGCGTGCTAGGAAGAGGCGTCTTGCCGTCCCCAGAGGGGACCAAGGGCCAGCGCCCCCATGAGTCCCCCGGGCTCTGTGGGGCCAGGTCCGTCCTTGGGACGCGGAGTGCAGGGTGGGCTCCTTTCCTTAGCTTCCGGCAGACGGGCACCCCGAGATTTTGTGGTGTAAGCTGAAAGGGAAGGGTCGCACGTGGGCCCGAAGCGGCTCTCGGGGGTGGACTTGCCTCCACGTGGGGGGTTGGGACCCGGGGTCAGGCCCCGGCCTCCAGCTGTGACCCACGAGCCGCTGCTGTGACCGTTCACGTCCGTCCTGTCCGCGCACGTTGGTGGGTGCCCTGGCGGCATCGAGCGACGCGAGCTCCTCTCCCGTCGTGACCGCGTCCCCCGCGTGTGTAAAGACGCACGAACCTGCGTGACTTATCGGACCGCGCCGTCCGCCTTTCTCGCCTGAAGGTGTGAAGTGGGGACCGACAGCTGGGTGCAGTGCAACGACGCCCCCGTGAAGGTCTGCAGATACCCCGTCACCGGGCTCCGCGAAGGCCTCTCCTACACGTTCCGCGTGAGGGCCGTCAACAGCGCGGGCGTCAGCCGGCCGTCCAGGAACTCTGACGCCATGGCCGCCCTCGACCCCGTCGCCC